CCCCCTCCCCCTCTCCGTCCCCCTCCCCCACTCCCTCCCGAAGTACCAGCTCCACCTCTCGCGCCCCCCTCTCCCCCCCCTCTCTCTCTTTCTCGGTCGCTCACATATGGGCATGTGCACACTGCACATGCATGCTCACAGACAAAAAGACAGAGGGGAGTATCGGGGCAGCCAGGGTGTGAATAGTCTGGCAAAATGAAACGCTGGACACAATGAAAGCCGTCAGCCTAGCAAAATGTGAAGTGAGACCCACCGGTGCAGATACTGTACAATTAAATTGTTGAAAATCCAAAAATCTCGACGAAGTCGGAAGAACAGCGCGAGCGACTTGAGAACCTGCGACGGGAACAATGACAACCGAATAGATCAACACATCAACCTCAGGCCAGACAAAAACTCAGCTAACGGATGAACAACATCGACCTCCGGCCAGACAAAACTCAGCTAACGGAAGTGGAATACGCGATTCTCGAACGTACATCACTGGAGAGGGTCTAATCCATGCCCAAATCTCCACCACTTGAGCCCACTTTTGATACTATTATAACTTGTTCCTAGCCTAGAGTGACGACTGTCGCAAATTTCACAGCAAAAATAGTAAGCGAAAACACAAAAGGTGCCATGGCTCCACCCTTGGCCATTCCTCAAGCTCGAGGCTCCCGACCCCGACATCACCCTGTACACGCCAGAGGGGGTATTAGAATATGGCATCCATAGCCATAGCTGCTGGCTGTGGCTATGGATACTGAGCAAGCTTCTGCACTAGCTGGATAGCCAGATTACAGAAGACAAGCGTTCGCTTAGCGTGGGCTATAGATAATCGCTAATCAGGCAAGAGGGTACAGACCGCTTGTCGAGATGCGGCACGCATTCGATATAGCTGCTGTCTACAGATAGTGTGCGGCTTGTGCAACGTAACCAGGTTACAAAGACAAGTACACTGGCTATATGTGTGGCTATAGATTGAGTGGCATATGAGAAGAGGAAGGGTCGAGTATTTCTTGATGGTTATATCGGGGATTGTTCGGGAGGAGGTGGTGGCGCCATGATAATAAAACTTGCGCCATGTTCTTCTTTTATCTTCCACTGTGCGTGTTTTGAACTATTTTCACTGATGTGGCTATCGATAATGGCTAGTTACTAATTCGTAATTAGTAATTAATTAGTAATTAGTAATTACTAATTAGTAATTAGTAATTAGGGAAGAGGGTATAGACTATAGAGTCGATAGACACGCTTGTGGAGATGTAAAATCCATAGCTGCTGCTTAAGGATAGTGACTGCGCTTGAGCAAGTAGACGGCCGGCTATATGTGGCGATAGATCATAGCTACACAGGCAAAAGCAGAGACCAAGTCTAAGTACACTTGGAGGTCCAGTCGCGCAGAGATTTTAAGGCCGCTACCATCCCACTGGTCGCGATACGACAGACAAAGATCAAACCACCAGAAGTTATTTTTCCAGAGGCTCAAACTGTCCTGCACGCGAAAAAAAAAAAAAAAAGAACCGGCGGGGGCCTCCATTTGCCTGGCGCCGACAGCCATAGTGATCTGGCAGCCGACCCCCGAAAGTTGCGGCGTGCATGCAGCCGCGTCAGAGGAAAAAATGGCTGACGCCACCATGACTCTAAACCGAAAGTTGCGGCGTGCATGCAGCCGTCTAAAGACTCTAAACCTGATCACCAGACAGCGCAGTGACGTACGATGCCGAATCCCTTGATGCTCTGTTGTGCAGAAGGATCTCTCTTGGGCTGCTGCCACCATAACCCGCACCGCATGCATATGTTATCTATTCCGACCTACACACACGCGCGAACAGATATCTCGATGGGGTGACGGGAGGGGAGAAAAGGGTGGAGAGGGGGAGTGGAAGGGAGGTAGCATCGGAGAGGAATGAGAGAGGAGACACACAAATGAATCCTTGTGTTCGTGAGCGAGAACTGAAATGGAAGATGCAGGACAACCTGGCATCAAAGAACACACTGAGCGCGCAGCACCTGGCGTGCCGAAAGCGACAACGGAAAGCAACAACGGAAAGCAAGACACCAGATCAGACACAGCCCTGCTCGCTTCGCTAAAACAACGACAGTAACTCGGCTGCCCTTACACCGCCAGTACATGCCAGCCATCGGCCGCGGGCCCCTTTCAGAGCCCTCCCACCATCGATTTATTTTATCAACGGTGGCGCGCGGGCCTCCTAAATTTTAGGAGAGGCTCAATCCGGGGGACTCTCAACTTGGCTGGGGCCGCCATGTACTGTTGCTTTAACATAAATAAAGATGCAGGGTGGAAAGTTGGAAACCATCAGCATGATTCATTTTCAACGCTTCAGTAAATCGTCAACGAGGTCCGTAAACCTCTTTGACTTCATGCTATCCATACGGAAGTTTAAGCATTCGAAAAATTTGAATCCCCTACGGCCGACTACTACCACTCTTCTTAGTAATCAACAAAATAAACACATGGCGGTACGCGGCCTATGCTGCCGCAGCATTCCGTTGCCCTCAACGGAGTGCCATAAATGTACTTCTTCAGCATTCTTGCGAAAAGCAAGCACTTTCAGCTCTCAAGCTTTACCTTCCTACATGATCATCACAAACCAAATGAGCCAGAAACAGTACGGGACTCACATAAAAATGATAAAATCATAAAAACGATTAGAAGGAGAAAAGATAGGGAACTCTCTCTCTCTCTCTCTCTCTCTCTCTCTCTCTCTCTCTCTCTCTCTCTCTCTCTCTCTCTCTCCCTTTGTATCTCTTCTAAGTGTCGGTGAGGTCAGCGTGCTTTCAATGAGTTTTTTTTTTAAGTTTTTTCTTCACGTTGTATCTCTTCTAAATGTCGGCGACGTCAGCACAACCAACGGTGAAGAACTGGACCAGGAACTGGCAAGGTCCAACGGTGAAGAACTGGACCAGGAACTG